AGCCCTTCTCTTCTTCTCCACCAACATTGAAGCATGTGATCACCTTTTGTGTTCAGGGCTCAAGCCATGTGGCCCTGTCCAACAATAAACCATCTTTCCAATCATCCTCCATGTCTCTAGTGTCTTTTTCCCCACTTGGAGCTGAACCCAGAAGGACATTTCTTTCATCAGGTTCTAAGTTATTGGAGACCTAGCAGTGAAAGAACCATATCGTATCTCCTCCCCTTCCAACCTTGACAACTAAACCCAAGGTTGTCAGAATTTCAGATGCTGGCCTTGGATCACCTCTTCTTTTATTATCGTACCATCACCCTAGTTGATGCTCTTCTGTTCTATTGTGTTCATCCTCTCCAAAACCCCAAAATCATTTTTTTGATACCAGATTTTAGGTAGATGTCTAAATCTACCTAAATCCATTCTTCTGTCCTTCAGCTCTGGGTTCAACCTACATTAAGAAAAAATGTCTGGTGTATGTTCTTAGGCTGGTTCTTAGGCTGCCTATGATGAATGGCAGACAAATTCCTGCCAATTACTTTTCTTAGCTGCCCTGTATTTATGTCAGTGCTGAATTGGGGATCAAAGGGATGCTAATCTTATTTACCGTTAAAATTTTGTTGTGGAACAAAGACAATAAATGTTACTCACCAACTCAGCTCCGGCCAGAACATCTGTTACCATTGGCTGCATATCATTATTTATATCACTAGGTGGCCTGATGATTTCTGCAAAATGAGACAAAGGAAATGGTCATTTTTGGGTCAAATTTACCTATCAAAACTGACAAAAGCATGTCAATTATTATATAGAATACTGTGTTATAAACACAGCATAGCAGTAAAACTGCTGTCTCGCCCCCTTCTTAGTATCAGCTGAATCTGTAAGGAGATGCTTCTTAATCTGTGTAACCAAAACATTTTAAAGGGTCTGGTCTGAGCTATTAATGTCCTTGTATTCCACTATGACATATTGGGACTTCTGACTATCTTAGAAAGCTAAACTGATTACCTGCTAATGATAACTCAACCAATTTGGATTACTGCTCCAGAGGAAATGCAGGCAGGAATACCTTCAAGACCCCTTCTTCCCTCAAAAAGCCATCCCTTGGGTTTCTCCTCCACTATGATTCTGATATGAACAGTTAGAAGGGGCTCAGAGCCCTAGCTATTTCTATGATGACATCCACCTCGCCACTGCAGCTGAAATGGCGAGGTAGATGTCAGGCACAAAGAACCAGAACAACACTGGGAGTTGATCAGAGTGGTATTTTATTGCTGCTCGCCTATTTACAAGAATCTTGCCAGACTAACTCCACTCACTACAGAGCAACCAGATAAACACTCAGTCTTAGGAAAGCATCTGCTTTCTACCACTTCTTCCCTTCAGTGATTTCAAGCTAGCCAGTCTTGTAACCCCTCCCACACACACACACACTTCAACTGCAGATGCCACAACTATTTCCTCTTGACAATCTCCCCTCCAGCTTCCTAGATCTTGCCTAGAAGGAGGAGGAGATGATAAGGACAGTTACTAGACATTGTATGGTAAACCCAGAGTGTCCATTGCATTGAGATCATAGTGAAAACAGTGGCTGCAAAGGAAGGTTTTAGATTCCCTAGCAAGAAAGTACTGTTAAAGATCTTATCTCAGTGGGCCATTATGTACCTATCAAAACAATTTCAGTTTGCTTCTGAATGCAAATTCATCTAGACATAGCTGTCAACTAGGCTCAATCTGTAAGACATACACATATATCCGGTTTCTTGCATTCAAAATGGACATTTCTATTTAGATTAAAGTGACCAGATTTTAAGATGGGTAAAGCGGGACACCATTGATGGGGGGGGGCTCGGAGCACCTGACCTGTAAAAAAAAAAGCCTTCCCCCAATTGCTTTCCCCCAACGCCCCCCCCAACCCTTTCAAAAGCCTCTCCCAACTGGATCCCCGCCTGCCTCCCCTCGGCTCACCCGGACCAGGTTGCTGACGGCGGCTTGTATGGCATGGCTGCAGGGAGAGCAGCACCCGAGAGAAGCGGGCAAAAAACCCCCCAACAACAAAAAACTTCCGATGGCTTAGCCACTTGGCCCGGGACCGAGCCTCCTCCTCGCCACGCTGCTGCCACTGGAAAGCCCCCCTGCCCGAGGCCACCGGACGACTGCCGCAAAAATGTTGCACGTCGGCACGCGCACACGCAGGAAGGAAGAGAGTCTCGCCCCTCGTCGGGTGCTTCGAGCGAGCCGAGCGGAGGGAGGGAGGGAAACCACTGCCCTCTAAAGGCCACATCAGGAATGACACTTCAGAGAAATAAAAACTTTTTTTTTAACGCCGTCCTTTTCAAAATTGATGATTCAGTGTCTTTTCTTTCTCTTGGAAAATCGGGAGTTTTTGAACACGCCGTGGGACACGGGACAAATTTTGAAAAATTGTGACTGTCCCGCCAAAAGCGGGACGTCTGGTCACCTTAATTTAGATGGCAACCTAAGCATCCTCCTATGCTGTTTCAAAAATTATAGAAGTGGGAGATCAGCCATATTTGCCTGATTCTTGGCAACTGTTCCGTCGTCTTCTTCTTCTTCTTCTTCTTCTTCTTCTTCTTCTTCTTCTTCTTCTTCTTCTTCTTCTTCTTCTTCTTCTTCT